ATGAACTGACAGACTGTATACAAGTAACAGCAACTGAAAGTCTTTCGTGCTCCTTTAACCAAACAGATGGTGAATTAATCCTTGAGCGTGGATTTTTTTTAGTTCTAGCACTTAAACTAAGAACTCTTTCTGATTTCAAATTTACTTGATCTGGTGAATACATTAGTAGGTCATTTATATCATGTTCAACAAAAACTCCGGATGGTTGTTGCACCTGACAAACAAAATAAGGGCATAAGTTTTCACAAATTTTGGATAACAGTTAATTACAACAGGATAATACTTACAATCTCAGCAGCAGCACTACCATCATTCTCTACCGCGGGGTCAACATCAAGAGTTTGCTGCTTAATTTTGTCCTTAGAATTACCATCACCTAAATCTTTTTCAGATTTTTTGTCGTCCAAAATACCAGACTTATTTTTTACCACAACTGGTTCCTCTTTCACAAATTGTCCACAATTTTCTTTATCATCTTCAACATAGGTACCAGAGTCCCTTTTTGGCATTGAAGATAGAGGAAGCAAATCTGCTCCCTGAGTCTCATTGTCATCAAACATGACATCCAATCGAGAAAAGTTTTTTATCAAGGTTGATGTCATTTCAATCTCAAGTTTCTTGTCAATTCTTTTATCTGATAGTGGAGATAAAAGATCTCGGTTTCGTTTTTTTAATATAGATGGTGTACCGGTGAAGGTTTTAGCTGCACTTTTTAACAAAACATCTGGGCTATCATCCCGAGAAGGTGAGTCCCATAATCTAAAAGGAGTTAGACAATTCATAGAAGACATCATAAATTGGCGGATACCAAGGGGACTGAATTCTTGCTGCATATCGCCCCCAGATTGTATAAGATCACAGCTTAAGAAAGGAATGTCCAAGCTTGGAAAGCGGGGAGGTTCATAACATAGAGCACCTGCGTCCTCATGTTCTCTATGCACATTTGGATTTTCATCCATTGGATATGAAGTTTGCTTTGCATCTGATCCACAACCGAAACTATTTACAGGGACTAATTTTGAATCGTCTTTGACAACATCTGATGGTTCTTGCATTTCAGTGCTGTCTATCCTATTGAGACAAGGACTGGACAAGTCACTGGCATAAATTATGTTATCCTGCGTTCTGGAGACAAATTGCTCATCGTCAGAACCAACCAACCGGTTAGCTTCGGCCGTATACATCAACCTATCTCCAGTAGATGAAACAGCTGAGGGGGCAGACGGTAATGATGACAGAGAAAGAAATGACGGGCCTCCTAACAAGTCAACCATATTTACACCTTTATTAAAATCTTCAGAAGAAAAGCATTCTTCGCTTATTGCTTCTGAAAATAGGATTCTGCAACATTCATCGTCAGACATAAACATTTGTTCGGGTTTAACAGGGTCCATAGATGTGGGTCGCATAGTTGTTGCAACACCTAACCCCACCGAAGTCTGAAACGGAACATTCATCATGCAATCATTTTGAAACTGTGATGATTCATGCCCAAAGTCCAGTGAGGATATATTGGTCAAGTCATCTAAATCAAGCTGGTCTTCCCCGTCATTGGAATTTCTAGGTTTGTGGGAATATTTCTGCTCAACGAATTGAGAAGTGCAAATCTCTTGGCCAGCCATGTCTGTAAGGGATGCAGTTACTTCATCCAGAGACACGTAATATGGCTCTGAACAGGATGCTTGACTCAGTTCTTCATTTGGCCTGTATTCCTCTCCAGATTGTAAAGCAACACTGTTCATCTCTCTGGCTGATGAAAAGTAACCAGCATTAGCTGACTCCTGGCTACACTGTGAAACTTCCTCTCCTTCAGTCCCCCCCCTAGGACCATTATCTTCTCCACTCTGCTGCAACCTCGAAGCGATTGAAGCAATAGGTTGATTCGGATTTCCAGCAAGTGGTAAATTTTGTGATGGAGTAAGCAAGCCTGATGCCAAGTAAGAATCCAATTTCTTTTTTACGGAACTGTTCCAATGGTTTTTTATAGCATTGTCTGTCCTGTTTCCACAAATTACAAGTATATTACAAATATTTAAAGCTTATTAAATCAGGAAAAAAAATGAACCCGAACTGCACATGGAAAACCAAGAACGTTCAGGTGAGAATCCCAACAAAATCAATCCCAGAACTTAAATAAGAAACTGTAACTTCTAAATGAAGTGAATGCTGCTAAACATTTACCTTAATAAATAGCCGAAACATAAAAACATGGATAACATATCCTTTTTTTTTTTTTCAAAACTGTTTTTCTGCTGAAAATGTGACTTACTTTTCTCCATCTACTTCCACTATAACTCTATTTTATAAAGCCCACTAACAAAAGTTTGTAATGGAAGGTTAGATATCTATTTTCAAATATTTTTCTGAAAAAAAAAAAAAAACAAGGCATGGTGGCATCACGCCCCCTCCTCTCCTCGATCGTCTCCTCTTTCAAAAAGGAAAAAATGCGATATATATATACCTTCCAGGCAATATCTTCGCCAATTCTGCCCACTTGTTCCCATAAATCTGATGCGCACGTATGAGAGCCAACTCCTCTTCCTGCGTCCATGCTTCCTTATTTATGGTAGGATTAAGATGATTATGCCACCTGTACATCATACAAATTATATGAATGAAAATTAACTACATCACTCGAAATGATTCAATATAAAGTATATACGAATCCACGAGGATAATGATAGTTTAAATAAACTTTTTTTACTGGACATATTGACATTTTTTGGGTAATAGAGCAACTTTGGTTCCTTGTTTCAATTATACTAATTAGGTATTGCAATGTACTATTTTGGTTTCTATCAACTTTTTTATTAAATATTTAATGAATTTTACTGACTTATAGTGATTAACTATCTAACACATACTATGATCCGGACTCAAGTGTACATTTTCATCCTCTTGGTTGTAATACCAAAAAAACCAATAAGTTATGTCCGCATTTATTATGTAACATGAACACATCATCATCCAATCTAACGTCAATTGACACAGACGAAAATAGTGCAATTATAATAATTTATAATTGAAAGATCTTAATTCAAACTGTTCAATTCTCATGGATTAGAATCACATAATTACTATATTTGAAATATTCAAAATTTCAATCAGGCCATTTTATTATTGTATACTCAAAACAATATAAATCGAATAGCCATATGATACCTTTCTCGACATTGTTTACCAATACGTCCAGGTAACTTTTGTGCGATAGTAGACCACTTCTTAGGCCCATATCGATTCACCATATCAATAATTATTTCATCCTCCTGTTTGCATTCAGTTTCGATAAGCAACTTCAGATTACACATGTAAACAGAAAATTGATACAATCTAGTATATAGAAATAAAATCAACTCGGGAAATAGATGGAGAGTAGAGATTACCTCCTTAGACCATGGACCTTTGACAAGTTCTGGATTCAAGACTTTCTGCCACCTATGCAAGCATTGTACATCAGTTCTATCCTTGAAACCCTCCGCTGCAAATAAATTTGGCAATGAGAACAACTCACAACAAAATATTACATAATTAGGTTGCATAAATTAAAAAGTCCTTATTTGGTTAACGTGCAAAACAATTAGGTGTAAAGAAATAACAAAACTGGTCGGGGGACCAACTTTTAGATCCCCGGGAAACGTAGTAACACCCCCCCCCCCCGCCCATTTATACCTTACCCGTGTCAGAATCGGAATGGTGCACTATATAAGTGGATCTACTTCCAATATATTACCTATTTTTTTCCAGTTCTTTCCTTTGAAACGCTGAACAGCCTTCCGCAAAATCTCGTCCTGTAAAATCGAAACACATGAGTATCACCTAGTAATACAGTATATAGTTATCAATCAGCTTTATACCTTAGAAATTAAAGGCAAACTGTAAGTCATAATTTTTTAAATGCTCAAATGAATAAAAAAGAAAGCCAGGTATTATTCAATTTTTTGTGAATAAATTATGAAAAATAACTATGATTGCAAGTAAAAAAACATTATGTATGCAAATTTTATTCGGATGTCATTAACATGCTTCGCTTCAGCGGCTACTTAGTATTATAGTGCAAATAATACATTACCGGACAATAAAAAGATACGTTGATCAAATGAATAAAAAAATAACCAGGTATTATTCAAATTTTTTTTGTGAATAAAATTATGAAAAATAACTATGATTGCAAGTAAAAAACATTATGTATGCAAATTTTATTTGGATGTCATTAACATGCTTCGCTTCAGCAGTTACTTAGTATTATAGTGCAAAAAATACATTACCGGACAATAAAAAGATACTTTGAATGAAAGAAATTTGCGTCACAAGTTAAACATTACCGAAATTCCAAAAGAATATGTCTCAAACTGTTTAAGAAACTCACCTCTTCAGGTGTCCATTGTCCTTTCGTAGAGCGCCTTGTAGGGCCAGTAGTCCTCCTACAAATGATATTTATTGTAAGAGAAAACTCACTACATCTCTTCATAGAAACAACTTCCTCCTAACCTTTACAGGTCTATTTATCTCTTTCTTATATACGCCAACATTATTTGTTCAAGAGAAAGGACAGGACACAGCAAGCATAAGATTGAACTAAAAAATTGAGGAAAGTAAAGATACCAATCCTCGGACCTGTTAAAAAATAATTCCCTAAAAACAAGCAGGTAACAGTTAAAGGCCTAAACATGTCAATTTTTATGCGCTGAAGGTGCTAGGCTCTGACAAGAAATGCCTTGCAGCTAGAGAGAAACAGACTAAACACAATATTAATATCATTCATCTTTTAGATGAAAAGATCAAATGCTCCTATTATGTTAATAATGTAGTGCAACAAAGATGATTTTGAGAATTACCCGTGCAGAGCTCTAATTTTCTGAACACCATCTGTCACCCCATCTACAGCAGGGATTGTCCTTTCACCTTCCATAATTTGGTGGCAGATAACTAAAATAGCTCACCCCAATTCCCACTGGACTGCAATTCTCTCTCCAATTGCTTCTCCAAATCATTATAGTCCCTTACTCAAATAAGAAATCACACGTACAAACTTCTGTAAACACACACACACGCGAGGAGAAGTTAAAAGCGAAAACAAAAAATAAAAATATAAATTCTGAACCAAACAATTTAACAAAACAATATTCCAATCTTTAAAAAAATCAAATAAAATATATCACCATATATCCTAAGATTTACCGCTTGGATCACACACACGCTCAACCTCTACCTTATCAGTAGTTCAATTACATAGTTCTGTACTAAATCACAGTCGATAAAGACTGAACTATTGACACTCGTAACAAAAAACAGAGTAATTCAAATTCAAATTAAAGTTGTTCATAAACGCAAAATCCAAAAAAGATTCCTAGAATTATTCGGTAAACAGGTTTGAATTAAAAAACATTTCAAGGTCAGAGAGTTTTCCTCAACCAAAAATGATATTCAAATCTTCAAAAGCTATATATCATCATTTCTGAAGCTTTGCTGCATTCAAGTTAACATCCACCTCAGCAACCGAATCTCAATTGCATAATTCAGTTCCAACATCGCAGAGGAAGAAGATTAATCTACACTTCCAAAATCATGCATAGGATTTCAAAATTAAAACACACACTCTCACACAGAAATTCAAATTAAAGTAGTTCAAATCCTCATAATCCCAAAAAATACCCTAAAATTCATTTCCGAACAAGATCGAAGTTAAGTAAACACCATTCGGAGAAGGAAAACACGTAGGAAATGGAATGTGACCGTTAGAGGTGATTTACTCACCGCTTCAAGCTTCAAAATGATAAAAGAGAAAAGGGAGGAAGCAATCGAAATAGAGTGCATTTGCAGATCCAAGCGCGAGCAGATGCGAAGTAAGATCTGCAAATGCACTTCAACCTTCAAAATTGGAGAATGAAAGAAAGAAAAGAGAAAAGAGAGTTAAACGGTCTTCCTCTCTGTATTCAAACATAAAGGGGCGGACTCTTCAGTTTCAAACCCTATGCTTAAATCTCAAACATCTTTCAGATATGGACGGTGTAGATCTCGACAAGTCGGACAAATGTTGTCATAGCTACACGGTAGTACATTTTTTAAAAAGGAACAAACGGGCAATTTTTATTTTTAAAAAGATACTATTCTATTACCTCAAATTTATTTATTTTTTCTTTCTTCAAACTTTCATTGCCACTCATTATTTTAGTATTATTTATTTAGAGTGGTCCTGTTTTTATTTTACCGCAAAAATAGCTATTTCTGATATTTAATTTATATTTAATAATTTTAAAAAAATTCAAAACGTTTAATAACGGGTCAAACTAAAATTTTATGAATTTAATGTACTTCTGACATTAGTTAATTATTGGTTGAAAAAATTCATACATTTAATTTACTTTTACTCATACAATAAAAAATACTGTGTATAAAATTTAATTTTTAACATAAATTAAAATGATAAAGAAAAGTAAAAATGTGAATTAGTTATTTTTAAAAAGGGTTTTATAATAAATAACAAATTTCAGATATTTCTAAAAAATGATTATAATAAATAATAAATTTCAGTTATTTTAAAATAGTGTTTAGTGGGTTGAAATATTAAAAAAAATATCTAAATTCAGTTAACTTTAAGTTTAAAATATTTAAATTAATAAATGATAGAAGATTTACTAGAAATAACATGGAGTGTGTTAATAGTGTACGAGAATGCACATTGCTGCCAAAACGGTCGGGTCCACCCACCAATAAGGTAAGGCTCTACTTCTTAGAGGTAGACCAAGGCATGGCAACCGGGGAACCGTCATTCCTTATATTTTGGTTGAAATTAAAAATTAAGTTTTCATTTTTTTTTTTACATGATTTTGGATTTATTTGCATCTTAAATTTATATTATTTAAAAAATAATAATATTTATAATAAATTAATTTTAATATTTTTATATATAAATCAATATTTATAATTTATAATTTATAATTATTATTAATTAAATATAGTTTTAAATTTAAATTTATATTAAAATATATAGATAAAAAATATTTAATTATTTTTTATATAAATATAGAATCTTTATTATTATTATTATTATTATTATTATTATTATTATAATAATAATAATATTATTATTATTATTTATTACATATATAATTTAAAATTTTTAAGTTGTTAAATATATAATTTATAAGAAAATATTTAATAAAATAATTTTTATTTAATTATTTTAAAATAATAAAAATTTTAATTATTAATATTTGTAATCCTTTAAAATATAATTATTTTATTAAGAAAATTTTGATATATAAGGAATAAAAGTAATAAGATTTAAAAAATATGATATAATAAAATCTAATAAAAATAAATTATAAATAAAATAATATTAGTTACTATAAGATTTTTGTAAAATATATAAAATAAGATAAAGAAGAAGAAAAATTAACTTTGTGTTGGTCAAATTTGTTGAAAAGATTGAAAAAAAATTAATTTGAAAAATTAAGGAAATATTGAAAAATGAAAAGTAAGAAAAAGATAATAATATAATAAATTAATTAATATAAAAGATTAAAAAAAATAAAAAGTGAGTAAAAAAAGTAAAAACTGTAAAAAAAATGATGTTATATAAAAAAAAGAATTAATTTTAAAATGTTAATATTTTAAATATAAATATAAAGATGAAGCAGTAACGAGTACGATTACAGTATTCATTTTTGTCCCCGATTACAATATTTACCGTTCCTGATAGAGGGAAAAAATTGCTCTTATCCTTGATCAATTTGGTTTTTTTCCCATCAAACTTGGGACGAGGATGAACCAATTTTTGCAATTATGAGTTTAATTATCATTCTAAAGGGATATTTTTTTAATATAAAAAATATTTATTAATTTTTTTTAATTTTTCTATTTAATTCATATTTTAAATTAATTTTTAAAAACTTAATTAAACTAGAGATATCATTTAAATCTAATATTATATATCAAAAATTATTACTAACTAATAGATATGTTTAATTATATCTTTTTGAAATTCTAGTTAAAATTTAGTTATATTTTATCTATAATATATTTATGTTAATTAAAAATATAATAACAACTATGGATTATAGTTTTTAATTATAAAATTATGTAATTTATTTATACATTTATGAGATTAAAATTATTATTCTAATTATAATTATATATTTTTATATAATATATTTTTTATTTAATGTTTTTTCATTTATTTCAAAATATACTTACAATTCCTTTAAAACTGTTAATAATTTAACAGATGACATTTGATTTTTATATTTAATTTGAATGATTATATAATTAGAAAATCAAATAAAAATCTTTTATTAATTATTAGTTATAATTACATAGTAGATATAGAAATAATTTTTTTTTCTACTTGATCTTACAAAATATATTAATTAATTACTAAAATTTTAAAAATGTTTACATAGATAATTTTATTTTCATTTAAAATTACTGTAATCATTTCATAAGATAAAAAAATTCTTAACTTAAGCAATTTAATATTGATTTTATTTTATTAAAAAATTCAATAAATTTTAAAACTTATTATTTCTCCTTATAACTTTAATTAGTTAAGCAACTTATTACTATTTAAAGATATTCTCATAATACCAATAATTAATATGCAACATGAAAAATATTTTAAAATTCAAAATAAAAATGTAATAATTGATCTATAAAGTTAATTAAAAATTAAAATTACAAAATGTTTTAATAAACAATTTTATTAAACTAATTGTTTCTTCATAATTCTGATCCTTCCAGAATAAATGCTTTAATAAAAATTGATTGAAAAACAATTCCTAAAATATTAAATTCTTGAAAACTAAGGAATTTAACCTTTCTTATGATTCCTGATAACTAAAAAGAATTCTCCTACCAAAACAATTCTCTAAAATGTATTTGGCAAAATCAGCTAATTTTATAGGCTAACTGAACAGAATCCCCTACAGCCAAAAAAATTTATTACTTGCGACAGATAAATGAAGAAACACAATTTTCATCAAACCCAAAAGCGCAACTCAAAGATAAGTGATTTATTTATTTACACTAAAATAATATCAACATCTTATCCTATCATCTTCCCATATATTATTCCACTTTCCGTAATTAGGTAAAAATATGAACCTCAAGAGAAAAATAAAAGGCACGTGATAAATTGAAAATTATAAAGAAATATTGCAAGTAATGATAATGTCATGTTACAACGAAGAACCACAAAAACTAGACCTAATATATCAGCGGAGAATTCAGTACGCAGTAAGGTTGAAATCGAAATTATGCAGCCCCAACTTTCTGAGCCTTATTTGGGCCATCAACTCTAGAACCAGTCTCTCTAGAGCGTGCATGTTTTCCCCCTCTACCATGCCATCCTCCCCTGCAAAGAGAATATAATTAATTTTAGTTCCACCCAACAAAATAAAGGATTTTTTTTTTTAAATTGGTAAAGTAAAATTCAGGGCATAGTTGATTCCAGCCAGGTACCTTCCCTGCTTATTCTTAAACTCTCGGTGTTTGCCTTGATTACCACGAAGCCGGCTCCAGTATTCTCTTTCTGCCTCACCTGAAATCATTATAAAAATAAAAAACATAAGTGGCTATCAGCTTAACCAAACCATTTTTACGGTCAGAAAATATCACTTTGGCAGCAACTTTCGATAGTGCAATATTTTTTTCAATTTAAATAGAGAGCATATTATCCCTGATGACGAGACATAGTATGTAAGGCCAAAAACGAAATTCAAACAAAAATGAGATGACTGTTTAAAAAAAAATGAAGAACTAACCAGTCACTGGATCTAAAATAGCAATGAAATTCTTTACAACCAACCCGCCCTTTTCTGAAATAACCGCAGCAGCACGAGCTTTCTGAGCAGCTTCAGTTTCTTCAAATCGGATATATCCTGACACTTCTCCGATCTTGAAATCGATGTACTAAACAGGAAAACAAGTATTTTGATCAAATCAGAAATCCTGACTAAGCCAATTTTTCAGTACCAAGTAGACAGCTGCAAAACCTTAAACAAACAAGGCAAATTTCTAGTACCTTCACTGTACCAAATTTCTCAAAGACACTCCTTAAATCCTCACGTGAGACAACATCCATGTTGTCCTTATAAGCGGCAGCGGAAAATTTTTCACCAGCTTGTAGTTTCTTTTCTCCACCTTCAGTTTCCTTTGTTTCATTCCTTTTAGTTTCTTTTGTTTTACTGTTTTCTTTGCTTTCAGCTTCCTTTGCTTCTTTCATCTCATTGTCGTCTTGACTTCCAGTTTCCTTTGCATCTTTCCTCTCATTGTTGTCTTCATCTACCTTTTGGTCATTTTCTCCAGGAGCAATTTCAAAATGGGGCTTTTCACCTGTTTTGGGGACAGCACTATTGTCATTAGCTTGTTGATCAACACCATTTTGGTCTGAAGGAATTTCATTTGAAGTGCTCTTTAGTTTGAAGGCAATTATTAAGCCTTTAGGGTAGCTGTTATGAAAATGAATAAAAACTGTCAGTTTGTGTGTATACTTTACTTTACGGTGATAAAATAAATTGATAGTTTTCTACCTTTCTTCTTCATTTGAGTTATTCTGGTGATTTGAACCCACAGCCGGACGAGATTTCTTAAAATCTTCTAATTCTTTTTCCCTCTCTGCATCAAAGTCCTTCCTGAATTGAGTAAATATAAACATCAGTTATATCCATCCCTATATATTATCTGACACTGAGTGTCAATGCATTTCTGTCCGATTCTCAAATACCACGTTCTCAAATCAGTGAATTAAAATAATTCATAAAATGCTCAAAAGACAATTTGGCAATAAAGAAACTACTTTTATTTAATTTTTTCACAAATATAGAGAACAAGTGTATATTTGCAATACATTCTTTTACACAAAGGATCATCCTTGCACATGTTTTAGAAATTAATTAATCTCAAGTAAAGTATTCAAAGGCTGAAAGAATTCTCTTACTTGGGTTTTAATTCTAACTCAGCCCCGGCGTACACCAATTTTTCTTTCATAATTTTTTCTACTTCTTCATCTGATGAGAACTCAACAAGGGCAGTGCCACAGAAGAACTTCTTGTCTCCAACATGATGGGGCAGCCGGACGCTATTAACCTGGAACCACAAAATGTATGCATAAATTATAAAAATGTGCACACATAAACTACTTCATACTCAAAGAACGATGAGCTAAGCAGCACAGTTTCTATACTCATTAAAAGTAATACATAGTATGCATTACATACGACTAAACAGACAAACACGATGTCATTATTCATATCTAAATGGCGAATAATGTCTCATGACAAGCATTTTGACTGTGATCTTAATTCCATGACAAGAAACATTAAGAAACTTTACTTTTACGCATATTTGACTCCAATTGACTAGCACCACACATTGACAACTTAGGATAAGTAACAGATACACGGACAATTTTAACTAAAATGTGAGCATGTAAATCATGATACTGGCCGCAGACTCCCTGGTGTTACTAATACCTTTGCATATTGACCAAAGAATTTCTCCACATCTTCAAGTTTCAGATCATATTCAAATGGTGATACAGCAAGTGTTCTTATATCCACTTGTTCAACCTCTTCTGGCTTTGGAAGTTCAGTTGTTCTACCAACTTTTTTCCCTGAAAACATAAAAACAAAAAAGAACAAAAACAATAGAATATAATTGGTCATCCTTCATGCAACATACGAATATCTTCATACACTCAACCATCGATTTAACACTGACAGGTACAATGTTCAACTGACATTATTCAATAAGTCACCTCAAACAAAAAGTTCTAAAATACGTTTATTTATCTCAATGTGCTTCCTCAACTATTGATCTCAATCACCCAAAAAGCTTAATATAAAACAAACAACTAAGCATAATATCTGGAGATGTTAATGAACATGTAAAGTAAACAATACTACAAACACCCACAAACATAGGAAAAGAAACTAACCATCTTCAGAGACCTTGAGTGAAGCCGAAGTTCTCAAAGTTTGAGCAACAGCATTCACGACATCTTGGGCGACTTCATCCGGCTTTACATCACCCAAACTAAGGTGTTTACGCATCCGGTTAAATGAGCAAATCAGAGCCAAATTAATCACTGTGCGGTAACACTCAAGGCCAACGATGAAAGCATCAAATTACTCTATCAAAGTGATACAGTTACACAAAAATAACAGTTAATACGGAAATGAAGAAAAAGGATACTGCCATCTTCGCTTTCAGTGATACTCTTCCTCATAAAACCATCGGTGAGAAGATTGCTATCGCTGAAATAAAACTCCACCTGATGAAAAAAAAAAAAAAAAGAAGTAACTACAACATTGAATGATCAATGATCGTAGAAAAATAAAAGTTGAGATACAAAGCGAGATTGAATACGCCTCGTACTTGTCGTATCACTTTCTTAGTTGTTTCTTCGTCTAATGATTGCGTTGCCATGGATGAGTGTAGAGTCGCGAAGAGTGAGGGAGGGTTTAGGGTTTTCCTGATAACTGCCAAGTGAAGTTTGGGCTCGAGTTATGGTGTGGAGTTTGTTCTTTTAAAAAATCATTTTCAGTTTTAAAAATAAAACGAAATACTAAAGCGAGTTTTAAAAATAAAATTAAGTTGCATATAACTTTTAAGAAAATTATATGAATAAATTTTATAAATTAATTTATACAATTTTCTTTCTAAATTTTTTTATCACAGAAGTTGTTCAAACATACATTATTTTCCTCTAGAGGTACTAAACCTCTGTCTCCTTTTGTTAAAACAATTATTAAAAATGTCTCTTTTGTTGAAACATTTATATTAAAAACATATACTATCAGATGGTGAGAAATGTATGTATTACATTTTTTTTAAATGTCTATTTTTCTCTTTTGTGAATAAGCAGATATATCACATTTTATTAAAACAATGAGTTAAACTCTATTTTGGAGTGCATTGATTTATTAAAATGCATAATTCTCTCTCCCACTTCCTTCTCCCGTTCCCACGTTCCCACTATCTTGATTTATAAGTAACTAACAAAAATCCTACTTCGTGCTTTATCATACTTTTATGGTTACTAACTAATGTTTTGCACGAAGCAAAATGAATTAGTATCCTGATATATATATATATATCATTGACATTGTTCGCACCAAATATTATATTACCTAATAATTTTATACGAAATGTAACTTCAATCTACTTAAATGATTGAATTATAACTACATGTTACATTGTTGATATAAAAACAAATGAACAATAAAAATCCATATTGAATGATTCATACTTAAATATATTATGAAAAATATATTTTGTCATTTTTATATTTAATATTTTTCAATTAATATAGGGTTTTAAACATTTATCCGTAAAAATATATTTTATACAGTATAGTTAGAAAATAAATTTTATGTTATTTTAGTTATTTTTCCCATGACAAAATGAAAACAGATGAGATTAAAACCCGCCATCTCAAAATTCAATAATAACAGCAGATATTACAGAGCAAGTACGTTTATAAACAAACCTTACTGCGTATGGTCTCACTAAACTAGTGTTTTTTTAGTTTTAATATTAACAACAAGAATAAAAGCTTCTCCGCCAGTGCCATAAACAATAGATAATCTTGCAACAATTTCGCAGGAAGGGAAAATCAATTAAAAAGGGGAAACTAAATTCTGAACTAGACAAGCGTGAACTGCCACTGTAAATATAGCAAGAAATTTCAGTTTTTTACTAGACCGTGAGAACAACAATATGAAAAACCATTGTCTCAAGCAAGGTCATAAATAAGGTATATTGCCCTTACCAAGAACATAGACCAATCATTAAACCCCCTCCCTCCCCCTCTTTTCCTCTATCCAATAACAGCAGGGTAAACACACTACTTGCTTTCCTCAAGAAAGATAATATAATGCAGCTTCAAATTCCAGAAGTAATCAATATAGATCTGCCAGGGAGGAAGTTGACCACCACTTATCTGCCTAAAACCCAATAATCAAATGATTACATGAAATCCTCCTCCAGTTCCTGCAATGATTTGCTTCCTGATGCAATTTGTTTGTTTGATGTCATATTTTCTGCAACCATCAAACCTTTGTAGCTCCTAAGCTCTGCTTGTTTCTCCTTGTCAAGTCTTTCCAATTCCTCACGGCGTTTCTGGATGGAAAAACATGTGGCAAATGAAAAAAATTATTCAATAAAATGTTTTCATAAAGTCTAAGGCTGATTGAACTAAAAACAAGCAAGAAAACACCAAGACAACTTATCAATTAAAGCATAGTAACTAAATATGACATACGCTACAGCTCAAAGCATTATATTTTTATTTTCAGCATACAACTTTTGCAGATTCAGACATCCTAGAAACATTGAGTAGGATCATCTAATTCTTAACAAAGTTCACTGACAAAACCCTGAAGGTCAACAAGCTAAAGTGACTCAAAGAACTTAATCAGTACATGTGACCAAACAAAAGAAATAATTTAAAAAACTATGCATCAGAAATATGGTAAGCAACATGGTGGTTGAGCTTAATTTTGATGATCCATCAGTATAAAAAGATTTCAATTACATCCACTGATATGATAACAAATTACCTGATGAGCTTAAATAAGCTAGCAACTAAATGAGAAGTTCAATTCAACTAATTAAATGATGAGGTTGGAGAAGGCGTACAGTATTTTCTCACTGACAATGCATCAAAACTCAAGTATACTATTAAATCCATGTCTATCAACATAATCTACTATGCTTAAATACTGAGGATAATGCCAGCAATGACTTGGTTGTGCATGAATTAAGAAAAGAAAAAGAACAATCTAGCAATACTCACCTTTTCTCTCAATTGTTGTTTTCTCTCAGCTCTTTCAGCTGCATTAACTGCTTCTCGCTCAGCTAACACACATGTACACATCCATATACCAGATTAGATTTGTAAAAATATTATACATGAGACACCAAAATGGATAAATGGCCAGCTAAGATAACCCATGAAAAATAAAGAAGGTGCACCAGTTGCCTACTTATCCAGCAAATAACATTTTTAACTATTTAAACTTATATGCTCAAAAGAAAACAATACTCAAAGGAAATGAAAAGCAACCTTATTAAGTACCTTTCAAATCAGGTTTCCTTTCCACTTTTGTCTTGTTTAGCCTGTTAACAATCTCATTTATCCTCTTCTCAACTCTCACTGTTCGAACCTAAAATGCACGAAAACCAGAAAATGATACTCTCTTAAAATGGAAGCTTAACCATTCATCTACCCACCCACTGAAAAGCAAAAAGCAGAAAGAAAAAAAAAAAGTAAAAATGTTGAGAAAGAATATGCAAAAAGATTAAAATGTAAAAATAATCACCATTTTTGAATTGTGAAAACCAACTTGACCAACATCCATTGAAGCAGTTTTCTTCAAATTAGACCAGGGAGTGTAGACAACATCGATATTGTTCACTTTATTCCCTGCCACAAACAAGGAAAAATGATGAGTACTAGGCACATAGTACTAGTAATTGAAAAGATACATATGAAAGTGAAATAATAACTATGTATATGTTTCTTGAAACCTAGTCCGAGAATTAGTCTTACCAAATTCCATTTGTAAACTTAAATCCTGTTTCAATAAGTCTCTCTGAAATCACTTATAGGGAGAATTAAAAAGGTAGAATACATTGAACTTCTCCTATAAACTAAAATGAACTTATACCTTAGGTTTTGAAAATATTAAATGAGGGAGCTTTTGGAAAAGTTAAGTGCATAAGCTGATTTTAACTTGTAGGAGAGACTTAATTCATTTAACTTCTTATTTTCTTCTCCTATAAGTGCTTAAGTAAAAATTAACCCAAACAGTACCACAACCGATAAAACCTTGATAAGGATATTGTCCCATGTTATTATAAGCTTTGCAATAGCACATAAAATTGGCAGTTTAATCAACTAAACTAATAAATACTAAGAATAATCTGTCTGGCTTTCACCTTGAATTGAATTTGCTTTGACAAGCTGAGCACAATCTTCCAGTAAACCCTCACTCATGTGATCAATAGTCTGGCCTTTGTGCAGCCTGACATAGACATGGGCCGAAGACATTTTATCAACATGGAACCTACAATACACAATTCTATCACTAAAAACCTCCATAACAACACAAATCTCTAAGCAAGCACCAAACAAAACAAAATAAAGTAGCCGCAATTCAAGGCAACAAATTTAAGAAAAAATGCGTGAAGAAACTTCTATCGTCCAAAAACATAACAGAGCAAATAGCCAACAAGGAATATCACATCCCAAAAATGGGATGCTTCTTATACAAAATCAACCAGAATTTTGTCCCGACACAAAATAGAAACAGTGTTCTTACAACAACATAATTGATTGAATCACAATTCTAAATAAACCTGACTATTAGATAATAATATTAATCACCGAATCAAAAATTGTTCAACTAGCTTTCAAGATGAAGGCTAAGTGTATAATTGCCACCGGATGCAGAAAAATTGATGAAACAATAAATAAATCAATAAATTGAAAGAAAATAAAATTGAAGATAGAAGATAATAATGTATATTGGGGTTACCAGATATCTTCGGGAAAACCGTATTTAATGAGTTCCTCGTTCTCGTACTTGTCGAGGCCCATGAAGATGGTGTAATCGCCTGCTTCAGGGCGCGCTTTGAAGTAAAACACCATCTGGTGCTTGTGTGTGGCGTTGTTTTGACGCAGACGGAGAAGAAAGGGGTGCGGTTAGGTTAGGGTTCTGGATGAGACCTGTTCTTTTCCTTCAAAACAAATCAAAATAGGGGAATTGCTTTCGCTATCCGAATCGCTGCGTAAATCATAATCACCGAACCTCTCTCTTCTTATACTTGAGCCAAATGAGCCTTTGTGTTGGGGTGGATACGACAAAATACAATATCTGACAATTTCCAGATTCTGAAAATCTATGGAAACAAATTTCACACAAATAATGGATGCTCGCGAAATTTACTAATACGCAATTTTATCATAATTATTCTAGTAATTTATACTGTTTTTTCTAAAATATAATAACCTAAAAATATTTCTCTTTTAACAAAAAAATCATTTTACATATAAAGTAATATATATGTCATAATTTTCCAACATCAGTGTTCTTAAATTTTATTTTATTTTTCATTTTAAGTAACGCTTTTAGGATTATTTTTTTTACCACCTTATAAATTATTTACCATAAATCTAAAATCTCAATTATATATTCATAAATATATTTTCATTACAAATTTACCTATATAAGTTTTTTTTTTATATAATGCACAAGATACAATACTAGTAATTATGAGAAAAATTGCACACTTAGATTAAAGGTATATTTCCTTCTGTATTAACGGTTTAATATTTATATTAATCTATGTTTATAAAAGTGATTCACATGATTAAAATATATGAATTTTAGTTGGAAACAAATAGAGTGTTAAACAATATGTTACTAAACAATATGTTACTACTTAAAATGTAACAATGTTGTGAGGAAAAGTTAGCCTAAATTTATTTTTTTAAAGATGATACGTCGGTGGGTTTATCAGTATTATGATTCATTATCAAATTATTTATAAATATATAATCTCATTTTATTTTTATGTATATAAATGAAAGATGTGTTAAATTTTTATTATATAAAAAAATTTAGATTTTATTTTATAAGCTAATTATTACAAGAATAATGATATATTAATAATCATGTAAACAAAATTCATTAATAGTCATTCAATATTAAATAATAATAATAATAATAATAATAATAATAATAATAATAATAATAATAGTATATAATAGGTAAGTTTAAAATTAAAAGCATAATTAAATGGTTATTATTCAGTTATTTATGTAAAAGCAGTTATCAAATAATCTTTATTCTTATTATAATTTAGACTCATACTTAGATATCCAGTGCTTAGGTCTCTACAACAATTAAAAATATGACCTAAATCTCCTATAATATTATAAATCTCTTTAATCTATATAAATTTCTCTCTAAAATTTTAAATAGCAAAATGTTATAATTTATTTGTAAAATTAATTTAATTAAAAAATATATAATATAATAACTAAGATAAAAAATAGTTTAAGTAATTGACTTTAGTTTGGATGAACTGTTTTTTTTTTAATTTAACTTGAGAAAACTATTTTTGTTTACATAAGTTTGCATGCAATTTGATTCAGTAAATCATTTTTTTTAGCTATTACTACGGCAATTTTTGTATGTTCATCAACTGTTAAGTATATTTTATTAAGAAAAATTATGTATTTATATGGATTATTTTGAGTTTAGTTTCAATTAAAAGTATATATAATTTAGTAACTATAGTTGAATTAAGTGTTTAATATATATATAATTAAATTGTAAACAGTTTATTTCAATTTACGGTTAATCTATTGTTTATATTAATTAAGTTTTGTTTTTTTTTTAATTACAGCAGCCTTAATTCCTCTCTCTCTATGCAAAAAAAATATATTAGAAATGTTTAATACTATTATTTTTATCTCTTATACATCAATAGCAATATAAATATCCTTGAAATTAGTTTGTTATAAAATTTATTAACATAATTTAAAGTAGTAAAAAGTCTCTTTTTTTAAATATCAATCTTATACATCAATTATGGAAAGGTTGATTTCTTTTAGAGTTTGACTAATGAATTATTAGTTTCATACTACTGATATTATGTTGTAATTGATATTTTTTTATAACTTTAAAATAATATAATAAATTGCATAAAACTCATATTAATCACAAAAATAAGTTAATGATAAAGCACATTCTCTATTTTAGTTTATTACAATATAAATTTATGATAATACATTGTTATTTTCAAAATAGTTATTTTTTATAAAAATATTTTTTTTGTCCTTATTAAATTATATTATTTTCTTTTATATATATAAATGGATAATTCTTAGCATCAACTGTTAAAGTTATCTCCAATATAATGATAAATTTAGTTCTTCACAACTTCATTTATATAATTTAATTTATCAGTAAAAAATTTAAATATTTCATTCATACATTATTCAATTCAATGCTTACGTTACATTTTAATTCAAGAATATTATCATCACCATAATAATAATTTCATATAAAAATAAACATATTTAAATTTTAATAAATATTTTATTCTTTCCTTATTCATCTCACTATTTTAAAAAAATTAAATATAAATAATAATAATAATTACAAATTTATAATATCATAATAAAATTAAAATTTCCATGTATATAATTATTAAAATTATAAATTATCTATTTATATTTAAGATTCATATAAAATAAATAAATAAATATATAAAATTAAATATATATTAATTATATTTGATGATATTTTATATTATAAAAATGATCAATTATGAGCTTTTTAATAATATTTTTAATATTAATTATGGAACATAAATTTTATAAATGAAATTTTATTTTATTTTAAAATAATATATAATTTTTTTAAAACATCTTTATAAAGCTCAATCTAATTTATTTTTATATTTTAATATTAAAATTAAATTTAAATATTATAAAACATTAAAACAATTAAATAATAAATAATACACATTAATAATATATTATAATAAAAAATATATTTATTCCAAGAAAAATGTGAAAAAAAAGTATACAAGTAAAAAAAAAATTATATATATATATATATATATATATATATATATATATATATATATATATATAAAATAAGTATTTAAAGTTGGTGCGAAGAAAGTGAAAATGTGAAAAAGAAAAAGAAAAGCAAAATAAAAATAAAAGGATATGAAAGAAAAAAATATAAATATACAAATTATATAAAAAAAAAGAAAAATGATATTTATAATAATTATTACTATTTTTTATAAAACACATAATAATCAATTTATTTATCTTTAAAAATATAATTTTATTTAATTATATATATATATATATATATATATATATATATATATATATATATATATATATATATATATATATCAAAATTTGGGTCCATGATAGCTCCCGTTGTTATTAGTAAAAAACAAGAGATAAACCTCGCGAGTCAATTTATAATATAAAAAACCACAAATAAAATAGATATATATTCATAAATCATTGACAAAATACTCATAAAATAAAATAAAATTTTATTTTATATTTATATAAACAGTTAGACTGATAATTTAAAAATAACAATTTTCTAAATCATCATTCAATTAAAGTTTGATTAGTCATTCAAAAATCAAATTTAAAATGTTTACTCTAACATATCATATTTATTTATCAATTAATATTTTAAAGAACTAAAAATAAAACTTCAATTTAAAATATTCACAAAATAAATAACAGATTTCCTCATTAAAAAAATATTTATTATATATATATATATATATATATATATATTATTATCAATTTCTTTTATAAATAAATTTAAAATCAAGATTTAACTTTTTCTTACCGTTCAAATATATAACTTTTGAAGAAAACAAGAGTAAAAAATACTTAATAAATCACATAACTCATTACTCCAATAATCAATTTTATTATATTGAACGAATATTTATTATATATGTTATCCTGCTTTTGGTTAATTTATCATTATATTGAGCTTTAAATTTATTATTTATGTCGTTAAAAAATAACAATCAATATACTCCTCTAATCAAGATGATTTTGGAATGGAAGGAAATATGAAAAAAATCAACTCACTCCATTTCAAGTTACTTTACTATTGTCTAACAACTCTATAGTAGTGTAACCTCATTATGACTAAAATGTCTTCCACATGTAGAAATATCAAAATGTTAAGTCAATAACTATTACACAAAACATAATTTTTTACTTGTGAACTGAGTTATTTATAAGAACCTTTCTTATTTTCCAATATTTAATATCAAAATATTATCAAGTTGTAATTAAATAATAAAAAGAATCAAGATATTTAAATAGATGCTTCATAATTAAAAAAATCTATATAATACAAAGAATATTCTAAATATTCTGAATCCCCCAATTGAATCACTTATCACTTGGAAAGTAATATGCACATAACCGATGAAGTCATGCCAATAATTGAAAAGAAATTTTGGCAATCTGGTCCTTGTCCTTTGTCTGAAGTGGAACTTCAATAATGCAAATAGAAGAATGTAATTAAAAAAACTTGCTCCGATCAATACTTGCAGAGATTCTCAAATCCCATGTAGTCATGATTTTCGATCTTGTGTATCATATTTATAATGCCAACTCCACCTAACATGTGAGTGAAAAACATTTCAGAATTTATAAGCATATCCTCATTGTAATAAGTTTTGTCAAAAAATCAAAAGAATGTTGCATGATGCTCACCTAATGATACTGCACTGATAAATATTGTAGAGGCTAGAATAAAGATGATAAGAGATGCTCTCCCACATAAGAGGATCAGTTTTCTCACAATGTGCTGTCCAACGAAGGCAGCAATAACTGCCACAAGGGTGAAGTACCCAGCTGTGCAACATTTAACAAAACATTTAACTGCATCATATCACTTTATTATCCATTTATTTTTTTCACGGTTAATTAAGAAGATCTCGGACACTAACCATAAGGAACTGGAAAACGTTTCAACAGGTAGTATTCTATAACAGACATAGATGAGGAAAAGGTCATGGCAAAGGTGGCTGTGGCGCTTGACACCTGCACACAAGACGTTGAATCATGTTGGTTAAAAGAAGTTAACTTCTACATCATGATAGCCCTCCAAGAACAAAACGTAAAATAACTCCACACACTCAACAAATACTGAATAGTTTCACACAAAAACTCTTATAGGGGTGTTTGTTAGCGTGAGAAAAGTATATCATAGTCACAGCATCAATCATAAAGGGTTAAATTATGTCATGTGATACAAACATTGTTCCTTGTTAATTTACTTTACCACCAGCAAGGCCTAAAAAATATACAAAGTTTAGTTTGAAACTGACCTGAGGTGGGACTCCCAGCTCCAGAAAAAGTGGACCCATAACAAATCCTCCTCCTAGTCCCAACATGCCACCAACTAAACCAGCGAGTATGCCAAAGACACAATAGATAATTAGCTGGAGAACAGTGAAATCTTTCCCATCTTGTCCAGTGGAAGATATCGCTCTGCGTCCACTGAACAAGGCAGCTGCCTCATATGCAGTTACCCCAACCGAGACAGGAACCTACATTAAATGGAAACCATGTTTCAAGATATTATCGTAACAGACATTCGGAACCATTTTTTTGAACAGAAGTACTTTAGCGAAAGCAAAAAAACTTGTATCAGAGTAATGCTCTGGAGGCAACTCCTGAACAGAATTACCTGTAACAAGTTCAGTACCCAATACAATGTTGAACAAGTACTCGTATAGGTTTCCTGTCAATAGCACATTATATTGGTCTCGAGTTAGAAACGTTGCATGGTGTACAGAATAAGCTATTCGTTGGTAGTAGATATTCAAGAGCAAACCTTGACAATCTGTAGTGCAAGGAATGCAACCCAAACAAACACAAGAAGTCCAAACTCCTTCCAGCATACATTTTCAATAATAGTCACCTGCAAAATCCACATTATTAGATTTGAAATGAAAATAACGCTGTATATAAGAACCACTAGAGCAGAGAATAGTGACCTCATACTCCTTTGTGTCCTTTACAGTGACATCATTTGGTCCACTGGGAAGAGGCTTGTATTCCACTTCAGCCCCAGAACCTACGCCAAAAACGGAAGTTGCATGTACTCTGACATAAGAAATAAATTGTTCCGGTGATTTTGGTGTATGTTAATGAATAGTCTGTGAACTCACCGTTTGATTCTTGTCGCCTAGCAGCCTCCTAAATTGACACAAAATGTCAGGCAGTTAGCCATTAATTCCAGGTTCAATACCAAAACATTACTTTCCTCTTGTTAAATTATATGGTCAATAATTCAAAGACACCAAGTTAGCAACAAAAACATTACTTTCTTCTCGTTAAATTACATATATTCTGTTGTTGGTTATATATGGTAAAATTTCAGTTAAAAAATGCAGTGAAAACATAAATGAAGTTAAAGAAGACCTTTTTCATTATGGTTTCCTTTTTCCATGTTTCAACCCCCTTAAAAAATGCTTTTGTTGAGGTGCCTGAAAGACAATTAGTTAGAGGAGTAGCAGAAAGAAGAGTGCAAAACTAAAATCGCAGTTAGAATGATTGTTACCCAAGAAGAGAATAATAAGCAATATAGTCACTATCCAATCAGGAAATATAACATTGAATGCCACTCCAATGCTGATGCCTAGCATGAGCATTGGTTGAATGAGAAGTGCCAAATCATAATCAATGATTGACATATTCAACGTAGGATGCCTCAGCTTAAGGTTGTAGTAAACAGTTGACACAGCTGCGCCCATGATCATACCTGTAACAGACATTACACACCTGATGATTAAAGGTGGTCGGACTCTTGAAAGTTGCAGGTCTTTTATTTCTCTTTTATATACTGTGAGTTTGAATATATATATATATATATATATATATATATATATATATATATATATATATATATATATATATATATATATATATATAACTAGAGAAAATGAAGAATAATAAGAAATAATCGGACTACTTTTCTATAATCTTAATTCCTACAAATTTTTTATTTGATTTTTGTTTTTATCTCTGCAAATTTTCCGCTGTTTAGTTTCAATTCTTGTATTTATTTTAAATTGTTAAAATATTTGTTTTCTTTAATCTCTATAACCTTCTATTTATTTTAAACTAGTCTGTTTCAAAAACATTGATAAAAAAAAATGAATTACATATTATATTGTATGAAAAATATATTTTGCAGGAACTAGAATAAAACAATAAGAACTGAAAAAAATAAAAGTTATAAAACCCAAATATAAAATATGAGGATATTTAATTAAGGGACAAAAACATATATAAATGTTTTCTTTACTTCAATATTTTTTCTTTCTCACTTTATCTCGATCTTAATTCACCAATAGTAGGACTATGTCGGTTAGAGGATATTAGGTTAGTTTTTTTTTTATGATTTTAGAATACGTAAGGGTTGACTTTAAAGATGTAAGAATGAAAAGGTACTATGAAAACAGAAAATATTTATTTTATAAGATGTTTAAGAGTGTGAAAAATAGTTTATCTTCAGTAAACTGCAAAACTAAAAAGCCAAAGAACAACATAATAACGTTTAACAGGGGTGTGTGTGGAATCTTACATTTAGAGATTGCTGTGGCTGATTTAGGATCAAATCCAACTATAAGACTGAGCATGGGGACGAATATGCCACCTCCACCAACACCTCCTACACTTCCGAACGCTGCACCACAAAACCCAACAAAAGTACCCAAAACAATTTGCCATCCAAATTCCATATCCTGCAAAAGTAACATCCACCTAACTTTTCCCTTTCCTTGTTATCTTATCATATCTATCCAAACAACAGTGACAACAAACAACACATCTTTCGAATAGCAGCAATAAACTCCACTGTAGAAAGTGAACAAGTCCATAATCATCAACTCTTCTATGTTCAGTTTACACCAGAGGGAAAAAATAAGAAAAAAAAAAAAACTTAACAAAAATTTACTTTTCTTTAATTAATTGAAAAAATGAACAGAAAAATTAGAGAAAAAAAATTCTTGCCTTCTATTTTTTATGTCATTTAAATTTTGAATTTCTCTCAAATAAACCATATATTTTGTCCTGCAAATATTATTTCTTTCAAACTAGTCAAATAATCCTAAAAATATAAGAGATCATACCAAATAGTATCCAAATATTGTTGAAATACATTAATTTAAAACTAAAATGATACAGACTTTAATAGTTTTAAATCATACAAGAAAAACTAATTCTTACCGTTGCAAGAAAAAAATAGCTTAAAATTATTTCAATTTTTTTATTGAAAAAACAATTTAATATTCTTAAATGTGTTCCAGAACATGTGTTAAAATTTATATAAATACTTTTATATATTTAGACATTTATAATTTATTATTATTTTTCAATTTTTTATCTTTCGAATTGTGTTGAAGCTTTTAAATAATTTTCTTTTGTGCTTTATGTATATTTTGTATATAATTTTTTTATATTAAGTATTACTAAATTATCTTTAGAATCATTTTTGCAAGAATCTTATTTAAACAACAATTAATTATATTATAAATTATAAAAAATAATCTAACTTTTAGATTGACACACTCATCACGTATTTAACTTATCCAGACGGAACATTAGCCAATCCATGAATTAACAAAAACACATGAAAAAGGTCAAATTAACCCATCAACAACATTAAAACAAAACAAAATCAAAGAAACCAATTCCCATCTCTTTTCTTTTCTCTGCCTCTGCCTTCAAAAAAACAAAATTTAACAAGAAATGAAGACCTTACCGGCCACACGTGTTGATACCCTGACTCTTCAGATTGCCACAAAAAGTTAACTGCTCTCGTGAGAAAATTCCGTGCAGGGTCTTCGGTAACATTAAACGCTGCACCATCCATTCTCATAACGCTTCTTTCTGCAGAAGCCATCGCAAAAACCCACGCAAAACTAAACCAGACAATCCATAAGGAGCCCATAATGTTTCTTTCCTTAACAGAAATTAAACCTTCCCGTGATTGAATTTGTTTTTCAATCCACAGAGTCTCTGTTTGACCGGAAGAAAGACTCGATCGGACAAAGAAAAGAAGAAGAAAAGGTGGTGTTGATATTTGGATATTTGGCTAAAGCTAGTATGTAGGAACGTAATTTTGGGGAACACAGATTTTATATTTTTTGTTCCTGAGAAAATGAATGAGCATGCTCCGAGGAACTTTCACTTTTGCGTGATAAAAATATATCATAAAATAAAAAAGAGGATAGAAAAGAAGAGAAAAAAAAAATGTTGGGTGGAAATGAAAACACGAGATGGGAACGAAGGATGGATCACAGCAATTCTCTTTCAGTGAATGGATTTCTCAGCAGCGAAGTGCGCGCTGTCTCTCTCTCTCTCTCTCTCTCTATTTTTCTTGTTTCGTATTCTTACTCCATGTTATAACTTCAATTTATAAAGATCCAAAATAGGCATGGCAACGGGGCGGGCGGGGCGGGTTTTGCCTCCCCGTCCTGCCCCCGACTTTTTAACCATCCCCGTCCCGCCTCGATCCTCGCGGCTAGAATTAAGTCCCCATCCCCGTCCTCGGGTTTCGAGTTCCCGTCCCGCCTCGCTCGATTTATATTATTTTTAAAAAATAATTATATTTATAATAAATAATTTTATTATGTATTTTTATATATAAATAAATATTTATAATTTATAGTTATTATTAATTAAATATACATTTTAATTTATTATATTTATGTTAAAATATATATGTAAAAGAAATATTTAATTATTTTTTATTTATATATATATATATATATATCTAATATTTATAACATTATTATTATTATTATTATAACACTGTATTCAAATATTTGAATATTTATAACATTGTTATTATAATATTGTATTCAAATATTTAATTATACATATAAGTTAATTCATTTTTAAGTTGTCTATATATAGTTTATAAGAAAATATTTAATAAGTTAATTCTTATTTAATTAGTTTGAAGTAATAAAAGTTTAAATTATTAATTTCTTTTAATTCTTTAAAATGCAATTATTTTATTAAGATAAAATTTGATATATGATAAATAAGCATAATAAGATAAAAAAATATGACATACTAAATATAAATTATAAATAAACTAATATTAGTTACTACTAAGATTGATGTAAAATATTTAGAAAAAGATAAAGAAAAAAGATTATCTTTGTGTTCATCAAATTGGTTGAAAAAATTGAAAAACAAAAACAAATTGATGGGAGAGACTAAGAAAATGTGAAAAACTGAAAGATAAGGGAGAGAATAATATAATAAATTAATTGATATAAAAGATTGAAAAAGATAAAAAAAATTAAAAAGTGGGTAGAAGAAAAATAAAAATTAGTGAAATATAAAAAAATAACCTTATATGTAATAGAAAAAGAAAATGAAATACTTTTAAAATATTAATATTTTAAAATTTAAATTTAAATATAAAGTCGGTGCGGGACGTGGCTGGGTCGGGGTGGGGATTGCATTACCCATCCCCGCCCGTCCCCGACTTTTTAAAGCGGGAAAACCCGAACCCGACCCCGCCTCGGCCAACTCGGGTTTTCCCGTCAAACTCGGGCGGGACGGGTCGATCCCCACGAGTACGGGTTTAATTGCCATCCCTAATCCAAAATAATTGAGCCTCATCATTTCCTTGTTTATATTTTCTTCCAACAAATACCGATAAAAATATTTATTACATAAAAAGAGAAACATATTTATATCTATACATAATAAACAAGGTTTTTCTTAGGTATAGATCCAAAATAATTGAGACTCATTCTTTCTTTTATTTATAATTTTAATTCTTCAAACATACTCATAATAATTAAACATTTTATACTCGCACAATTCTAACCCAACTGAAAGAAAATAAAAGATGCACGACCATTATTATTGGTATGCTCCACGTCAAGTTTGGTATGTGACTACATAATTTGACATGCCCCAAACTGAAACGTCTTTGTTCTTATCAATTAATGTTTTTTTACTGTTCTTTATTAAATAGAAAGTACAATGATTACTACCATCTTAAATACTATTTATATTACACTTAAGTTTAAATTTTATCGTGATCTTGAAATATAAAAATGATAAATTACTTCAATTATTTGTACATGTTCGTAACTGTCAATACTGATTACTTATATAAGTATCTGTTATAAAAAATATATGTTTTTGTCACTTTTTTATTGTTTCAATTTTTTAATAAATTTATAAAAAAATATCTTAAAAACTAAGTTGTTTGTCATGTTATAAATTATTATTTTTCATAATATTTTAAGTTTATAAACAATATTTTTAACCATTTAAAGGATAAAATAATATAAATTATTGAATTCAAGTATTGTTTAAGTCAAATTATTAGTTTTATTTTTTCACGTAATATTAAGTTAAAATTTTGGTAAAAGTTAATAATGGGTGGAATAAATTACTCATAACATGTTTACAAATGGCATATGATAGTTTAATACATTAAATAACAAAATACTAGTTAATAAATTAAAAATTATAACACAGTGTTTTTATTTGCAGTAAAATTTTATACTTAAATAAAATGATAATATAGCACGTATATTAACTTGAAAGAATATTTCACATCCATGGTCAAGGCATAACCGAACAAATCCACGACCAAACACGTTTATTCGATTGAAAAAACACCATCCACGTGGAATGTACGTCAACATTCCCTTCTGCCTTGTTTTTATTCTTTGAAGAAAAATATTAAAAAATAACTCCAACGCATAAATTTGTATTTATTTCTTATCTTTGATCTAACCAAGAGGAAGTAAAGATTCCCCGTGATAATTCGAATTCGAATGTAAGGAATATTCAATTATATTCTCTACAGATTTTTCAATGTCTTTAGTACGCAAAGAAAGACAAATATACCTGCCATTTTTATATATAAATCATTATATATTTTTCTGAGTGTTTGACATTAAAATATACATCTTTTCTCTTTCCTCCACGAGGTGTTTACATGGCACAGATGCAGATCATGTTTTGAATACCAACATTATACGAGTCAAAAAATAATTAGTATATCTAAAAAAAAAGTACACCACGATAAAAAAATAACTAATAAAATGTTACACCTCCACTTGCATATATCCCACCTTTATAGGATTTTGTCAATATCTAATGTTTTGAGAAAAAAATTAATAGTTTTTGTTTTGATATAATTACCATACACGTGGCAAAAATGGATCCATCGTCTTGTTATTTTTAGCCCCTATTTTAACAAAAATCGTATTTGTAATGATTTCTTGCTATTGTTGAAAAGGAAATAATATTGTAGACAAAGTATGTTGGCAAATATTCTATTCAGATTGGGGTGATAGAAGAATAAGACACGTCAAGATCCCATGGTGAAGTGTGTCTATTATCCAAAACTAAATTTAAAAACACACAAGCATTGGTCATATAAAGTATAGTACATTTAAACTTAATGAGTGTAAAAAATCAGAAATTAAGTTTGTGAATATGAACTGATTTGGATTATGCAAAATACATTTTTTTGAAAATGAAGAAATTTAAGGAGATGAAGTTGTAATTGTTAGGTAATGAAAGAATAAATATTTTAAGATTTTTGATTCAGAGAATTATAATATGTTGTGTATATCTCGATAAATTTTTTAAAAAGATTTAACAATAATTATTAATCTAAATTTTAGAATTAGAATGAGAGGTAAATTCAAAATTTATATATAATCAAATGTATTATTAAATATTTTTTAATTAATTTAAATTTATTTTCATAAGGAAATAAAAACAATTGAATACTATGATAATTAGTATAACTTATAATAATAATTCAACCTCTCTTTTTAAAAATCAAATTGCTTGCAAGAAATGAATTATATGATTTTGTTAAACAAAAGATAACCAATCCAACACGTCTGAGTTGGATGCTGCTTATGCAATGTGCTTAGTGAACTTTCTTTTCCGCGTTTATTTTATTTTTCGAGATTCATATAATTTATTGTAATACCACGCTGATGCGGGTGGATGAGAGATTAAAATTTTCAAGCAAAAACTAAACTTTAAATTTTGTAAATAAAACCAAAATTAAAGTAGTGTATTAAATTCTCTAGTAAAAAATATTAAAAAATTAATAAATATTTTACCCTTATACACAGCACTGCATTTTATAATATTGATACAATCATTGATGTTTTATAAATAAATAAATGCATTTTTGTTTTAGTATATTTATTGTTTTATTTTACAGCATTATTAGTTATATAATTTATGAGTATGTATTACCATTGAGTATTGTGTGCATATAAAATGTTGATAATATATGTCATAAGATAATTAATATAACAATTTTCTGGGTATTAACTTAAGGTTGAATAAAAACTCAAGTAAACAAACAAACATTCCAATGCAAAAGATTATATTTTGTTTATGGAGAGTAATGCAATTTTGTCATGTAAACTCTTACTTAAATAGTTAACTAAATTTTGTCAAACACATGATAACTTTCCTTGTTTAGGAAATTATATTAAGGATAATTTATAAATATTTAAAAAAAATTGTATTTGAGTTTGAAATATTATTTTGTTTCTAAAAAACAAATTATTTGTAGAAAAAAATTTGTTATTTATTAGATCAGAAAATCATAAACTGCAGAATATTATTAACTCACTCACGAAATCAATTGTTATAACACAAAGCAGAGAGAGACGTGTTATTATATATTATCTTTAAAAACTTATATACACTTAACGTGCATGCTTCTGAAAATTCAGCAAGCTCAAATAATAGTTGAAACATGGAGCAATTTGAGTATATGGAATAGCTAAAAATTAAGGAATAGTCAACAAATTATTATTTTATTCAAGGAAAACATAACATTGAATTAACAAATTTGGATTTTCAATTAATAGAGAAAGTGTGAAG